AACATACCTATGAATATGATATTCCATTTCTGCCAGTAGATCCTCCTGAACACACTGGACCTTTACAGGAATGAAGGACTTTTACTTGTAACACAGTATTTGTACAGTTTGTGTATGCTCCTGTGTGTGGGTATAAATAATGTAGTAGACAATATTCTTTGCACTAGCTATGGGCCAAATGATGATGAAATATGATGCAACAAACATCATCCTCAGGCATTTAACTGCTTTTCGAGAGCTACTGGTACATCTTTACAGTTTAGAAAGGCTTCTTCAAAATAGTCCACATACATAAGAAGAGAAAAAACCAAAAACCATCACCCACCAGCTCCCTGGTTACCAGAAGAGTTGGCATAGCAACCAGTGAAGGGTTAGTCACGCTTTGTGAGATCACTGAATCAGTCTTTGATCAGTCAGATGGTGTCACAGAGACTATATGTATTATGTAAAACCTGGTAATTCACAGATTTAAAAATGTCCCCGACGGAGCCACATTCCTGACCTTCAGTAACGACCTGACTGAATATGATCTCATATGATCAGTGAGCGCTCTGCAGGTGTTTCTGCATTGATGGAAATAATAAACATTTTACAAAAATGTTACCGTTGCACAACACAGCACAGAAATCCCACATCCATGTAGTGCAAACGCTCCTTACTGTTTCCACTGCTCTACTGTAGCATATTTTGATTCAATAAACTGCTTCTTTATTTTCAGGGAGTGAGTTGTTAAATGAATGGTTAACGTCTTTACTTTGTGTAGTTGTGTAGTGTAGTTACAAATATCAGTGGGATTGTCAATAAGGTTTTCTTACTAACGGAACAGAAGAGCTCTCTCTCTTGCATGTCCATCTAACTGAGAAGGCAGACAGCCTAATTTAAACATCATATACATGAATGTGATGAATAAAGCGTGGTGTACTGATAAAAAGCTATGATGTTTGATCATCCTGGAAGAAGGATCGCTCCTTTTGTTACCTGATTTTATTTAAGTCTTTCCAGTCTGAGGGTCTGTGCGGATTATAAAGCCCTCTATGAATAACTTGGATTTTGGATTCATAAATAAACTTGGCTTGGCTTGTTTTATGTTTATGGTTCATTATGTTGTAACACACAGCACAGTTGCAACGCAGCATGAAGCTGCATAGGAATTAGAGGAATACATTATGAACACTGGTTATTAGTGACAACCAGGGTGGGAAATTTACTTTCTAAAATGTGAACATCTGCCAGCCACAAACAGATAAATGTTCAAATTTACCCGCCACATTCATTATGAAATCTACCAGCCACTTTCACACTTTGGTGCTAATTTCCTCCCATGGTGACCACCAACCAAATTACCATTGTTTTCTTCTCTTAAAATCCTTGTGTTCTACATCAAAATGCTTTGGAGATTGTGTGATGCAGTGAACAGTTTGAAGCAGATTTGCCACAACAGATTCACTCAGGAGGAAACTGAAGTTCATGTCACAAGGTGCAGAATCACCATGAGAGAACATATGGCACCTCAAAATGGTTCAGGAGGAGGAAATATGTTAACGTACAGTGTGGTTCTGATGAGAAGAGAGCTCTCACCCAACAAAATCAGTTCAGTGGTATGACAGTGAGTGAGCAGGCAAACAAAGTCGACAGGTAGAGACAGTTTGGACGTGGCATCGTTATTACATGAAATTTGACCCACAAATCACCCATAAAGAATAGATTGTCAGCTTCTCTTCAGTTTCTGTACATCAGGTGATAAAGGCCACGCACATAATAAGAATGAGGCTCACATTGATCCTTGACTTTGAAAATTGCCTCGTGCTACTTGACAGCTACCTGACACTCTCCTGCAGCTCTTCTCCTCACACTTGAGAGCAGTCTGTTTCATGACAGGACACAGAAATACCAAACAGACGCAGGTGTACTTATGCCACTTGAGTTGCACAGAGCCTGCAATATCTCAAAAACAGATCCTTGGAAAAATGAGAAACGTTCAAGCTTTCATTAAGCAATAGAGAAAATGATCACTTAAAGCCAGCAGAAAGCCCAGAGCATCCTGTCAATGTTTGCTGATTTCAACCAAACTATCATGCAGGAAAGTCACATGATGTTGTTCTTAAGATAATATAATGTTCTTATAGAAAGCTGACTTTTTCCCCATTTAGGCCATGATCGACAGAGAGAACTTCCCATCAAGGGTCCACTTACATACAGCAGTTATAGCTGCACTTTGAGATGCATTTAAGAGCAGCATGACATCTGTGCATTTGTCAAGATATTCCATTGAATATGTTTTCTTTATAATGGAGCCCCACAATGGGCCCCTACTAAGAAAGAAAGTGTAATTTGAAAGGATCGCCAAACGGTCTATTTTTGCAAGGCTTTATATCAGAAATCTGGGTCACATGTGCATTCTGTAGCTTCAACCTTATGTCCTCTCAGAAACCTGTTGAAATGACATAAATCTGCTCATATAGAGAAGTATAATGGGAAACAGAAATAGATTGGCAGAAGTAAAGGAAAACTCTTTACGAGAAATGGCCTCCTAGCCTTCTAGTGTCATATTTTTCCCAGGAGAGGGGAGGGTGATTATTGCAGCAGCACACGTGGACCAACCTGAAGTGAGGGCAGCCTCGGCCACCTGACCATCGCTGGCCTCAACAGTGAAGCAAAGTGTCCACGCTGTCATAACTCAGCCCCTCGCTTTTTGAAGGCGAGATGCTCTCTGACATGTTGCTGACTCTTAAGTTGTGAACTGCAGAGAGGACACAGGACAGTTTTTTTTTTTGTTGTCGGCTAATTTTTCTCCTCGCTTTTTAAAATAACGCTTGGGAGAAATTCACAGCCGCCATCTCTCTGCAATCTGCTGAACGTTTGAAGCTGCATCCTCGCAGAATCTAACCCAGTTCTCTCTTCTGAGGGGCTCTCGCGTGCATGAAATAAAATCTGCCGAGGGGAAGTGTTATTCACGACCCATTTCCACCGAGGAAGAGAATGAAGATGCTATGTGTTAGAATTTATCAGAGCATTTTCTCAGGCCAAAAATAACCTCAATTTGTGCTTATTTGATTCTCCTCTCTTTGCTTAGATTTAACATCGAAGTGCAGATGTGCAGCTAGATGTTTACATCTGGAAGTTTGTTGCGTGCTGTAGTGGCACACATGAGACTAAATGACACAGTAAATCTATATAGGGTTATATCCACTGTAATGTGATTTGGCAGTGCATGTATTTATAATGTAACATTATTTTTTTTAATATTCTGCTGAAATAATGATCCAAGAAACAATGGGGATTTTGTCATAAATCTCAAATGAGACCCGACTTCTTCTGACTCTGTGTTTAAAACATGGGGATTTTTGAATTCTAAATCATTTATCAATCAAAGATCCTGAATATTCTCTGTTTCCTGCCTCTTAAATATGAGAATTTGCTGCTTTTCTCTGTTTTATGCACCTTATTCCCAGCCCCATACATTTCTGTTATTCCATTCACAAACTCCCTTCAGTTAGCCGTATAGACGTAATATCTTTGGGGTTCGGACTGTTAGTCAGACAAACAAGCAAGCAATGAAGACATCACCTTGGGCTTAGAGGCAAATGTTATTACATATATACATTTTAGACTGGACGATTAATTGGAAAAAGATAGATTCATCAACATTAAAAAATGTATTCAATCAATTAATATACCACTGCGTCTTTGGGGTTAAGAGTTCAGAGCTGGGAACCTTTGTGGTATCTTTCTCTTCCTCTTTTCCTCTCTTGCTTTCTAGTAAAGGCATCAATGTTAGAAAATTAAGATAATCTTAATTGCAATCTTTTAATTTCAATGTAAAATACATGTTAGGGATTTATATATATGGATCTAGAACACATGAATTTATTTAGATCCCTAAAGAAAAGGTCACTGAATGTCATTGTTATTTTTCTACCCAGTTAAAATTCAAATGAGAAATGAAATTTGATGTTTGTTCTGTTGTTCTGTTTTCAGGTCCCAGTGAACTGGACCTCAGTCTACTGGGTGAAACCAGCAGCCTCGCAGATGTTGCTTACAAGTATGATGAGGTAAAATTATGATTCATTTCTGCTTACTAAATGTTTTAATACCTGTTGTCAATATGCAATGTGAGTTTTTGGGTTTGAGCTATCTTATTTTGACAGGCAAAACCTCTCTTATACAGCACAGTTTAATGCATTGTGTGAACTACAGGGGAGCCTGGGGGAGCTTGTCTCCTCTTAATAAGACATGAGGTCCCCTGAAGACATGATTTGTAAAATTGTGGGGGGGTCTCTAAAATATTGACAATATGCTATTTTTGCCATGCATTTCAATTTTTTTGTATCTTCATCATCATGGATCATGTGTAAAGTGAAGCTATTTTTGATGTATTATCCCTGCATGACGGTGATTCATCACTAATTTTAGCTTAAATAAAGATACCAGCCAGCATGCTGTTCTTGACATCACCCCCCTAAAGTCCATAGTAGAGATTGCACACTGGTTTCAGTTCAATAAACAAATCGAATTAAAGAACATATCTAAATAAGACCTAACTTAATGCTACACATTCTGGTCTAAGTATTGAGGTGTGATTCCAAGCGTTATTGAAGTTGGGATGATCATGCTGTAGTTTTATATTTGAAAAACAAAATCAATAATTTGACTTTTAACAAAAAAATGTAATTATTCAAACTGACACACACACGCAGCCCCAGGCCAAAGCAAATGAATACAATTGGTATTTTCTAACTATAATGTCATTACATTGGGAAAGATTCATCCCAACAGTTCTCAGCAGCCTTTAGCATCACAATGAACCCATAAACTCTCTCAGTCTAATGCATTTAAGATAAGAAAATGAGCTAAATGTCAAACATCTGAATGCTGTCCTTTCACCTCAATCATCTTCGTAACGACACTGTTGTGTTGCACAGTATTGTCGTCTGCAGTAACTTAATAACAATCTTATCGTCCTTTCGCAATGAGGCTCTTATTGTGTTAAGAATAAAATTTTTGAATCACTGCCACTAACGAATAGAAACCCTCTTTCCCCCCCTAATTCCCACATCCTCTGCTCTTCCTGCTTTTTATTCGCAAGACACAAATGATGATCTGCAAATTATCCATTTCGAAAATGGCAACCGCTGAAGTCATTTCAAAGGCCAGATGATTCAGCGAAGCACATGTCCAGAGACGGAGAATGCTGTTGTGTAATACTTGGCGAGGGTGCAGACGAGCATCATTCCTCCACACAAACCTGACCCTCTGTCTCATTTCCCATCCTCCGACTGTCTGGAAACAAATTGCTCAGCTCTCTCTGCCACGCTCTCCGTTTCTCTCCCACTTAATTTTTCCAACTCAAAGTTTTTTTCTGTTCTTGGGAGAGGGAGGAAAAGGGTACTGTTCAGTCTAAGTCTGCTTAAATATGCAGGTGAATTTAGATTTTTTTCAGGTCGGACACCGTCCTGCTCTGACATTTGATTCCAGCTCTGAAGTTAATGTCGCTGGCCCGTCATCAGTGGTGGAAGAAGTACTCTTTTTCTCTTTAACTTAAGTAACAGAAACAGTACCACAGTGTACAAACAGTAAAACCAATATGTAGTTAAGTATTGAGTACGTGGAGTCCTGATAGCACATTTCAGCTTTAAGAAACATTTAACATGGAGCTTTCAGCACTTCAGAACAGTGATTATAAAGGCTCAAGAATGGATGCACAGTACTCGAAGTGTCCTGATAAATTAAAACACCTTAAACATGCACAATACATCTAATAAAGGATCCTTTTAATAAGTGAATTATAGGGCCATGATGGTGCATCGACGGGTCAGAATATTGGCACAAAATATCCGTCTAGACTTGTTTAAACCTATCCCTTCTGTAGTAGTAGCACGTTGTTGAAATTTAAACTCTACTTAACCTATCAAATGCTACCGTTCTTCACCTTCAGCCTGTATTGATATGCATTGGCTGTTGGCACTGAGCATCACAGTGTTTAATCTTCACCAGCCCTGTTCACAGAATTACTCTCACAGCCGGTTTTTACCTGCCAGCCAACATCCCACTGTGCGTCTCCTGGGATCATGCTCGGCTGTCATTTTGTATGTAAATGTAATCATGCCAGATAAGACTGAACTTCGAGCGAGGCTGGTCGATCATTATTGACCAATGTCACCAACTCTGTCATTATTCAGAGGCTTTCAGAGCCAGGATAAAGCCTGGTCTATCAATACAATAAGGTAGAGGAAACCACTGAGCGGCTTGAGCACAAGGAGAGTGCAAACAATAGGACAGCGACGGCCCTGTGCAGCACTTCCTGTGGCGAGCACTGACACTCTCTTTCTGTGAAGTGGAACGAAGACACCGTGCAGCCTTGTCATCCCGTATTTGTGGCCTCGGATATGAGACGGAGATGGATTTTGTTAGCGTGCTGATCCACAGAAGGTGACAGGGGAGGGGGACAGAAGGGCAGCGGCTATTTTGGGATCTCTGGTGTCAAATCTCATGGACTTTTACCTCTAATTATTTCTTGCTTTTCATCACCTCTAATTTATCCCTGATGGCAGAACATCCTATGTGGATGTGTCGTGTATTTCTCAGTTTATTTTATTGATTGATGGTGTATTTGACCTATTCTCATTAATATCTGACTACATGCAATCAGTGTCGCTGTTTTTATCTACATATACTGCAGCTCGGCTTCTGTGGAGTCCACCATGTTGA